AGAGAGAGAGAGAGAGAGAGAGAGAGAGAGAGAGAGAGAGAGAGAGAAAGGTGTGTTTCAGTCACAGAGCATAAAGGAGTTTGAGATCTGAAGAATGCTTTGACATTGGTCATAGATAGATGCAGAGTTTGTGGTTCACCCAGCATGACTGACACCATCAGAAAGAATGGCAAACTAGTTTATCGTCATCCACCCAAGACACTGCACTATGGCTCCTGAGTCCAACAGGTGCCTCACATATGGGAAATAGTAAATAACATTTGACTGTGTGATACAGTCAGGGTAACTGAACAAAGATAAAGAGATCTTCAGGGTAAACACTGGTCAACCGATTGTATCCAGTCAGAGAAGCAGGAATCTGTGTATCTGAGAAACCTAATATATCCAATGAGATAAGACTCACCCACAGAATAGTGAGAGAAAATAAATCAGAGTTATAAGTGTGGCAGCAGTGCCACAAACTGGGTTATACATGGGAAAACTATCAAGGGAGAAGTAAAAAAGACAAAACTACACTTGGCCTTCTAACCTTTGCAATAACTCTATTATGACTCTTGCTGTGTGGCCATCCATGGGCTTACCTTTATCTTTCAGATGCTTCTTCAAAGAATTATCCTGCCTAGGAGGGATGACAGAAGATAAACAGTCGTGTCACTTGTCACCTGAGGAAGAAACGTTAGCAATTGAGAGCTCTGTGCAGCTCAATCGATATCACCGGGCTGTGCCCGTTGATGGGTTTTCATCTAGTCATTTCTCAGAGGCAGAGCACTTCCCATGAAGAGGCAGTTAAGACATCTTGTTTGCTCTCTCCTCCATTGCTAATGCTATGTTTTCCTCATCTCCTAAATGAATCACAGATGGTCCCTCACTTACAGTGGTTCCTCTTACAATATTTTGGCTTTACAAAAGTGCAAAAGCCCTATATGTGCAGTAGAAGCTGAACTTTGAATTTTGATCTCTTCCTGGGCTGGTGGCATGATGCTCTCACGAGATGCCAGGCAGCGGTACTGAGCTGTGGCTCCCAGTTAGCCATGAGATCACGAGAGCAAACAACTGACCCTCTGCGGTGTTATGTGTTGCTAAGCTGTGCTGTTTGCCTGGTTAGTTGCATTAATACACTCCCCACTTACGATATTTTCAACATACAACAGAGTAAGTGGGACATCTGTGGTGTCATAACCCAGCTCATTTCTCTACCCATCCCTCTCCCCCCCCCACTCTTTATATTGTTATAGAACTACCTTCAATGACACATCTTAGTGTGGAAAATTACATCAACATCCCATGTTTTAGCTCTCTTACCCCTTGGAAAGCTTAAATTTTATAATTTCTTCTGAAAGGTGGAGGGAGGAAAATACTCTTCACCTGTTGGTTTTGAGCTTGATCATGTGACTGGAGTCATCCAATAAGGTGGAGTGACTGTGCCCATGTGCCTGCTCCAAGCCTTGGGGTTTAAGGAGCTGGTGGCATTTCCTCTTGCTCGTTCTCACTTCTTGCCAGGAAAGAGGCACACCTAGCCCAACTACCGTCCCCACCACAAAGACACCCTGCTTACTGTTTCAGCTGCCTATTTCCACCCCAGCTTTCTTTCTGACTCCATAACATTTTGTCTTCACTTTGGGATATCCCCCAATATCCTTTCAGAGTTGGTTGTTACGGCACTGACTAGTTAGGTATCCAAATCTGTATTCACCTCTTCCTTTGTGTGACAAATCTCAATTTTTTTTTTCAGCCTGGCAGTGTTCCCAGGGAGCCCCACAGATCTCCCTCTATGTAGCTCAGGGCTGAGAGATGCAGAAGTTGCAATTCTGATGAATATAGTTGCTTTTATTTCTGTACAGCTTCCGTATAAGGACCAGGAGTTTAGCTTCATCCACTTTTGTTCTTTACTACTCGGCAGAGTGGCGAGCACACAGCAGATCTTGGTACTGCTTGCTGAATGCTGTGGAAGCAGTCACGTGGTATGGAAGCCAAGGGATGGAGGATCTAAGCTTGGGTTCCATTCTTCACCAGAGATCCTACAACACCTACTAATTTATGTGCTCCCCAAATGGCATACTAATTTCTTCTGCGTCTGAGAGCAAACTCTACTGTATTCTACAGGGAACAGAAAAGAATATTGACAATACATGAACTCAAGAACACTGCTTTACTGACTATTAAGAATTTTAAGCCACAGAGAACAAACTCATTTACCTGTTAACAAGCTGACACATCATTAGTTCTACTAAGAGGCCAAGGTTAGAGGGATACCTCTCACCTTCCCTGCCCTGATAGCCACCTAAGAACTCTTTCTAAACAAATACTGAGAATGTCATAGTAATATACCAGGATTTGTCCCTTTATCCTCACACAGGGACCAAGGAAGAGGGGAGAGTGGTCTCGGGGCCATCTGGAGCTGTGTTCCCAGCCACCACACCAATCCCGGGGACAGTGGGCCCAAGCAAAGATGGTCAATGAGTTGCCACTCCTGCATACCACCTCATTCTCCAACCTCACTCATTTTGCTCTTCTGACATTTTCTTCGGAGGTGGCCAGATTCTTCTTCTCTTACACAAAATAAAAGAAAATCCACCCCTGGACATTTTTCTGAAAACCTGCCAGTCATCTGCCTGCCATTCCTGTTGATTTCTCTCCTCTCCCACAGCCTCATGCGGCTTTGGTTTCACCACCCTACTGAAACCACCACTCAGGGTGAGTTCCCCCTCGTGCCAGGCCCCAGCTCAGCCCCGTCCTCCTCATACACACACTTGGCCTGTGGAAAACCACCTCTCGGTCAGGCCATGTTGCACACTGACAGCCGCGCGTAGGGTAGCACCACCCTGCACACACAAGTGTCTCCTTTCCTATGACATCACAGGTGTGTGAAGACGTGGACGAAGAGTGTAGGGGCATCTGGTCTCCCTTCAGAGAGGAGGACTGAGCATGAGTAAAAGCTCACACATAATGCTGAATGTGACTCTTCTCTTTTCAGTTCTTTGTATTGATCAATGTAATCTTTTCTCTTTCTTCCTGATCAAATTTGACTTATGTCTGAGTTTCTTCCAAGCTTGTTCTCATGCCATCTTTCCTGGCCAAAGGCAAGTCCTTTTCAGTGAGCTGCCTCTGGGGAGAAGGTTGCATTAATGTCCCCAGTATTTTATACCTCCCATTCCCTGGACAGCTTCGACTTTGTAGCTCCTACCAAAAGTGGGGAGGGAAGCAGTTCTGACCCATTGGTTTGGGTTTTTGCCCATGTGTCTGCCTTCAGTACTGCAGACAACGATGCTGCTGACGCCACAGGATAGGCTGGATAACAACCTCCCCAAATGCCCATGTCCTAATCTGTCAAACCTGTGACTTGTTAATTATATGGTAAATGAACTCTACCAATGAGATTAAACTAAACTGAGGATCTTGTGATTGTTCTGTTTTCAGAGCGGGTCCTAAATGCAATCACAAATGCCCTTAGAAGAAACAGATGAACAGGGAGATTTGACTATCGAAGAGTGGTAACTGTGGCCTGGAAAGCACAGACTGGGGTAAGGCCACCATATACAAAGAAGGCTTGTAGGAGGGAGCAGCCCCTGCCTGTTCCTGACTTTAGCCTATCAAGTATGTTTTGGACCGCTGGCCTCCAGGACAGTTAGAGAATAAATACATATTGACTTAAGTCACCAGTCTTCATTGTAATTTGTTAGAGCAGCTAGTAATTATGTTTCTGGGGCACAGTGTGCTGTTTTGACATGTATATAGCACAGAATGGTAGGATCAAGGTAACCGGCATACCTACCACTTTAGACATACGTCGTTTGTTTGTGTTGGGGACATTCAGAATCCTATCTACTATCTATTTTGAACTAATCAGTTAATTATTGTCAGTCTTACTTTACTGTGCCATTGAACTTGAAAAGTTGTTGCTTTATCCAGCTGCTTCCCTGAACATATTAGCCATACCCTCCCCAACCCCCCCCCCATGCCTTTTCCAGGGTCTGGTAACCTCATTATTCTATTCTCTGTTTGTCTGAAATCAAGTCTGCAGCCTTCACATGTGAGCAAAAGTTTGTGGTGTTTGTCTCTGTGCCTGAACTATTTCACTTAGGGTCTGTCCCCAGTTACTTCGAATAACAGACTTTCCTTATTTGTTTGTTTAAAGAATATTCCACTGAGAATATACACCACATTTTCCCTTATTCATCCAGTTATCAATGGGCACTTTGTTCCATTCCCTTTTTTTGATATAACAAACAGTGGGTGTTTCAATAAACTTTTGACGCTGGTGTTTCTTTATCTACCACTTCCAATTTCTTTGGATATGAGTAAATGGGGGATTTCTGAGACACAAAGTAGACCTTTTCTAGGTGTGTGTGTGTGTGTGTGTGTGTGTGTGTGTATACACACACACTCATGCTGTTTTTGTCCATGTTCTATTGCTGTGAAGAGACACCACAACAGTAGCAAATCTTATAAAAGTAAAACATTTCATTGGGGCTTGCTTATAGCTTCAGAGGTTTAGTCCATTATCCTCATGCCAGGGAACATGACCAACATGCATGCAGAAGTGGTAGCTGATTTGAAGGCAGCAGGAAGAGAGAGTCACTAGCTCTGGCATAGGCCTTTGAAAATCAAACACACCTCCAGTGACGTACTTCCTCCAGCAAGGCCACACCTCCTAATCCCTCTCAAGTAGTGCCACTGCCTAATGACCAAGAATTTAAATATATGAGCCTATGGTGGCCATTCCTACTCATACTACCACACATGCACATGTGCCTTCTACTGGTAACTTGAGTTGTCTTTCCTCTGTTACCTTCTATCTTCCTTGAGACAGGGTCTCTCACAGCCCTGGAGTTTTGACAAGTAGGCTATCCTGGCTAGCCAGTGAGTGCCTGTGTTCTTCCTGCTCTGCTTCCCACTTCATCATTGCTGGGGCTACCGGTACGCACCATCACCCTAGCTTTTTATGTGGGCTCTAGAAATCTAGAAATGCCTCAGGTTGAAAGGCAAGGGCTTTCCCGACTGAGCCCTTTCCTCAGACCTATTTCTAATTGTTTTGGGGAGTCCTTGCTGAAGGATATCTGTCATTTAATGGGCATCATTCTAATTATTTCACCTACAGCTCAGATCAAATTATCTGTAATACTTGGCACAGCACAGTTGTTGTGTTGTATTATTTGGGCAATGATGACAAGAATAAAAGTCTGCACATGCTCAATAGGGGCCCAAGATTTTCCTGGTGTTTTGGATCGCTTAGTTGAGTCTTTGGATAAGGGGCCCATAGATACAGAGACTGGCTATATTTTCCTGCTGAGAAGTTGGTCTCTACTGAAGTCAAGCAGTTCTCTCAAGGCTACCCAGGCAAGGTTCTGTGGCACTAATGGCACCAAATAGACTCTGTTTCCTGAGAGTCATTCCACATAGCAAGGCCAGTTCCTAGCTCTTCTGTGTCCTGGCATTGTTCATCTGGCTAGGGAGAAGATCCTCGAGGTCTCAGGACACTCATTCTGCCTCTTGCCAGGTAGATATGTAACAAAGAAGGAGAGATTTTCTCCCATTTTCCAGTGTTCTTCAGGTAAAATTTCTGTAGCTCAACTAAATTCCTATATTTTATCATGTTAGGTCAAAAAAATTTGAAAGTACTTCACTGTATCCAGGTGCTCTCATTTCTTGTTTTGCTAAATTGATATTCTTTCTTTGACTCTGTAGCTGTAAAGCTATCTGATTTACATCTGCTTGAGCCTGGAGCTTGAAGTGAAAGGCATTGGACAATTGCTAACACTTTGAAGAGAATGTCTCTCTTGTTAAAAAAGAAGAAGGATGAGGAGGAGGAAGAGGAAGAGGAAGAGGAGAAGAAGAATATGACGCCACGCCTTGCTTCCATTTCTCTAAAAATGTTCTCTAAAGGATATCATCCATTTGAATGCACTGTAAGAATATCCTATACTGTAAGGTACATGTGATATGTGCATTTAAAGTAGCTGTATCTCAATAGAGCTCAAGTCCCCATAGTTCACCCATTTGAAGTATATGATCCAATGCTTTTCAGTTCATTCAAATGGTTGTGCTATGACTGTCAAAACTGATTTTGGAACATTTGTGTTTCTTTCAGTAAAAACACTGACTGTGTGCAGAAGCACATACCTGTCACCTCAGCATTCAGGACTGTGTGTAGAAGTACATGCCTGTCACAGCATGCAGGACGGTGTGCAGCAGCACATGCCTGTCATCTCAGCATGAAGGACTGTGTTCATCTCAGCATGCAGGAGGCTGAGGTGAGAAGATCCAGAATCTGGAGTCACCCTGAAATGCAAGGTCTAGATTAGCTTGAGCTACATAGCATTCCTGCTTCAAAAACACAAACCGCCACATCACCATCCCCATGACTACCACCATCACCACCACCATCACCATCACCACCACCAACAAAAACCAAACCAAACTAAAGTTCTCTGTCAGTGAGCAGTTGCATTCTTATTCCCTCAGCCTCACCCTATGCAAACGACAGTGTGCTTCATCTCTTAGGTATTTGCCCTTTCTGGACATTTTATGTAAATAAAATACTATACCTGGTTCTTGGAATGGCTTCTAATGTTTCCTAGGTTTGCCCATGTTGTAGCACATATTGTTATTTCATTCTTTTTAATTGTCTGAATAATATTTCACTGTGTGGCTTGACCACATTTTACTTTTCATTTACTGCCAATGAATTTTGGGGGTGTTTCCCCCTTGTGGCTATGGTGATAGGCTGGGGCTGCTATGAACATTTGTATCAAGTTTTTGTGTGGGCATAGGCTTCTAACTCTGCTTTTTAAAATTATTTTTTATTTGTGTGTGTGTGTGTGTGTGTGTGTGTGTGTGTGTGCGCGCGCGCGCGTGTGCGCAAGTGCATGCCTCCCATGGTGCACATGTGGTGGTCAGAGGACAACTTTCAGGAATCAGTTCTTTCCTTCTATCATATAGGTCCTGGGGATCAAACTCAGGTTGTCAGGCTTGGTGGCCGACCCACTGAGCCATGTTGCGGGCCCTCAGATTTCTTAAATGTATGCATGTAGGAATGTAATTGTTAGACTGTAAGTAATACTGAGCTTACATTTTTGACGAGCTCCCAGACTATTTTCAATATATTCATTGAAAATAAATTCATGATAGCTGGGGGCTGGGGCTAGCTGGGGAGAGGGAGAGGATAAGAAAGAGATTCAGTGTGGTGAGGCGCCAGGAACTGTAATGTATGCTCAGCCAAAGCATCCGGTCCCAGATTGACTGCTGCTATGGGAACAGATCCAAGTTAATCTACGGAAGTGCAACAAAGCACAGAGGGTGCTGCTTATGTTTTACCCAAGAAGTGACCCAGAGTCAGATGTTTGGGCTGGGATGAGGACTGAACAGGAAGCTCATTTGCAACCTTGGGACAGAATGGAGAGGATGACACATTTTGTTTGTTAGCCTAGGCAATTGCTGCGAACAAGGAGCCTGTCTCCAAGGCCGTCCTGGTACCAGCCCACCCCGCAGAACAGCAGGCCTGGCTGGGATCATGCTTTCTGACCATTTTTGTCCTTTCATCTGCTTAAGCTAGTTACACTGTCACTTTGAGCTCTGGCTCTGAGTCCCCGGGAAAGGCTCTGTCCAGATGTTCATGTATTTAGCAAATGCACTCTGCTGATGCCTTGGCACGGCTGCTTTCAGATGGGGACGGATACTTGATGCTGTTGGCTGTTGGCAACACACACACACTCAAATGAACAGCAAAGTCTGTGACTCAGATCCCCTGTCTCCAATTCTTTTTGTAATACAGCAGATGCATCATTTAAAGGGAAACTGACAAGGTAGCACGGGGGGAGCGGCACTGTTTTCCCCATAGCACCCTCTCAGCTCTCGCGGGTCAGGCAGAAGCTCTTCACGTGGGGAAGGGTGTCTTGTGTTGTCCCACATTGTAAGGCAACTCCTTCTGTCTTTATGTAGGAATTTGTGCCCCCTTTTAAAACCATTTCTTCCATTACGTATGCAGAAACCCTCAACCCATTCAGTTGCAGGTCCTTCCCCAATACTACGTATTTTTGATT